GTGTGTGTGTGTGTGTGTGTGTGTGTTTGTGTGTGTGTACATACATCACATCTTCTTTATCCATTCATCCATCTTTTGATGGACATATAAGTTGCTTCCATATCTTGGCTAATACTAGTAATGCTGCAATGAACATAAGGGCGCACATATCTTTTCAAATTAGTGTTTTTGTTTTCTTCAGGTAAATACCCAGAAGTAGAATTACTGGATTGAATGTCAGCTCTATTTTTAATTTTTTGAAAACTCTCCATACCGTTTTCCATAGTGGCTACACTAATTTACAATCTCACCAACAGTGCACAAAGGTTTCCTTTTCTCCGCATCCTCGCCAACACTTGTTATTTGATTTATTGATGATAGCCATTCTGACAGGTGAAAGATGATGTCTCATTGTGATTTTAATTTGCATTTCACTGATGATTAGTGATATTGAGCATCTTTTTTCCATGTCTGTTGGCCATTTGCACGTCTTCTTGAGAGAAATGTCTGTTCAGATCCTCTGCCCATTTTTTAATTGGATTTAATTTTTTTTGGTGTAAAGTCGTATGAATTCTTTATATACTTTGGATATTAGCCCCTTATTGGAGGTATCATTTGCAAATACCTTCTGCCATTCAGTTGGTTGCCTTTTTGCTCTGTCGATGGTTTCTTTTGATGTAAAGACATTTTTTAGTTTGATGTAGTCCCATTCATTTATTTCTTCTTTTACTTCCCTTGCCTTTGGGGTCAAGTTTACAAAAACTCCTCTGAGACCAAGGTCCATAAGTTTAGTGCCTATGTTTCCTTCCAAGTATTTTTATTTTTCAGTCTTATATTCAAGTCTTTAAACCATTTGAGTTGATTTTTATATATGGTGTCAGATAGCTGTCTAGTTTTATTCTTTTGCCTGTGGCTTTCTCGTTTTCCCAACACCATTTATTGAAGAGATTTTCCTTGCTCTATTGTATGTTTTCAGCACCTTCGTCAAAAATTAGTTGCCCATGTATGTGTGAGTTTATTTCTAAACTCTCAATTCTGTTCCATTGGTCTGTGTGTCTCTGTTTCTGCCAATACCATACTGTTTTGATTATTATAGATGTATAGTATAGTTTAAAGTCAGGGAGTGTGATATCTCTCCAGCTTTGTTCTTTTACTCAGGATTGCTTTGGCTATTTGGGGTCTTCTGTAGTTCCGTATAAATTAGAGTACTTTTTGTTCTATTTCTGTAAAAAATGACATTGGGATTTTGATGGGGATTCTAATTTGTATTTGTCTTTATGTATCTTTTGATCTCTTTTTTTCTTCTTTGACTCCATAGTTGTTCAGTAGCATGTCGTTTTATCTTCACATATGTGTGGTTTTTCCAGCTTTGTTCTTATAATTAATTTCCAGTGTCATCCTGTTTTGGTCAGAAAAATATGCTTAGTATGATTTCAACCTTCTTAAATTTATTGAGATTAGTTTTGTGTGCCAACATATGGTCTATCCTAGGGAATATTCCATGTGTACTTTAGAATGTGTATTCTCAAGTTGTTTGGGCTGGAAAGTTCTATAAATGATCAATGAATCCATTTGGTCTTAAGTGTTATTTAAGGCAGATATTTTTTTTATTGGCTTTATATCTGGATGATCTATCTATTGCTGTCAGTTGGTTATTCAGGTCCCCTACTATTCCTAGAATTCTATCTTTGAACTCACCAATTCTCTCTTCCATCTGTTTGGTCTATTTCTAGTGCTCTCTCTAATGCATTCCTCATCTCATTTATTACTAACAGACCTAATTGACAGCAATGGATATTGAGTTCTTCAGCTCCAGAATTTTTTTTTTTTTATAGTTCCAATCTCTTTGGTAAAGTACTCCTTTTGTTCATTTATTCTTGAGCTCATTTTAACTACCTTTCTGAGTTTTCTTCATAACTGCAATCTTGAATTCTGTCATTTAAATCACAGTATTCCATGACTTTGAGTTTGGTTTCTGGAGAGTTTTCATTTTACTTCTGTGCTCCCAGGATACCTTGGTTGTCCGTGCTATCTGATAGATTGTTTCTCTGCCTGCACATTTGAGGTCGTGAGCTCTTGTTTAGATACTGTTTTGCTCTCAACAATTCTGCAGGTTGATAGGTAGGGCGCTTTCTTCTGTTTGCCAGTAGATGGTGCTATAGTGCAAGTTTTCTCTTACTTGCACCGTTTGC